GTCTAAATTATTGAACTTAAAAATTTGGAAAAAATAATTTTTCTATTCTTCAAAATAATAGACTTTTTAAAACTTCTTTAAAAGAATATTTTTTATTTCATGAGAGGCCAAAACAAAATTATTCTTTTATTCATATTATAGAAATTTAGAACCAGAGTTTTCACATTGGTGTTCGAAACGCATAGAAAGATTCTCATAAAGAAGAACTACCCGGTTTTCATCGACTGGTTTTTTGCTACGGAGGTTTTTTTCGAATGTTAAAAAACGGTTTGTCGAATAATTCGGTTTATTGAAAATTTATTTTTTAGTATGCGGTTGGGTTGGCAAAATTAGTACAATTGTACTTTTTGTGGTACTATTCAAACCTCAATAGTACAATGGTACACCAATGACCCATTTTGTACAATTTTAATTATATTTCCTTATTGAAATAATAAATGAAATGGTACTTCTGACACAAAATTCAAATGCTACCTACTTCGGTAAAATTATATACTAAACTTCAGAAGAGGAAATATATAATTATTATTTATATCCTCTCAAATTGTTAATAAACATGGAAGAAATTACAGCCAGGCGAGCAATAATAACTTTTAACAACGAGTCTATAAATTATAAAATTTATAGACGGCCACCGATTTTCTGAAGGAGGTTTATATGAATTTAGGTTAATATCGATAGTCATAAAGTTCAGTTTATGACATAAGTCCATATATTGCTTATTTAAGACGATTAAGTGCTATTAAAACTATTTTCTGAAATGTGTCGTATATGGGCATTGCCCAGTATCAGATTTTGCAATTTTAGAGGGACTAAAAAACTCGTCACTTTGAAATTATTAAACATAAAGATATGAAAACGTCAATAGGTTACCTATATCATTTTTTATCTTGGACCACAAAGGCAAAAAAGGGGGAAATACGGGTAAAATTAGTTATTTTTTATATAATGTTAATTTTTTATTCTAACGTGGAAATATTTTTGTGTTCTCGCTCAAAACTTTTTAAATATATGAATGTATGTATTAGTAATATGTATGTATGTATTAGTGTAGAATCCTGGGTAGACTTGGCTTAATTAGGGGTTAGAGTTCCAGTTTAGGTAAGGTTTAGAGTGGACTGTAGGTAAGAGCAGATTAAGTTAGATTAAGCCAGCTTCCCTGTTTTCCGCAAGCTCTATAATTTCTGATCTTCGGCAGAACTTATAGAGGAGTTAGATTTGAGGTTAGATATAAAAGAAGTGAAACAAAGATTTGGGTTAATTCAGTTCAAGATTATACAGAGTTTATTAATGCTCACCGTTGGGCGTTTTCCTGACGAGTGGCTTTTCTTATTCTTGTACAATATTGAGGAAAACTAAGTTCAATTTTTTTTTCATTCGAAATTGGAAAATGGATTTTAACAATTCACAATAGTTTTAATCGTTACTTTAACATTTCAATGTAAATTTATGTAAAGCAAATACAAATTTAAAAAATGACGTTAACTTTAATTTAAATCAGAAAATACATTTTGGTTTAAAATACAATTTTAAACATACTGACCCCCTTGCACTTGTGCAACCTTGTTGTTTGATTGGACACAAAGCACTTGTGCAAGGGAGCGAATAGCTTCCGAAATGACTTGTTGGTTAGGTAGAGCTGGTGTGTTTGAAGGAGTTGTACGTTGTTTGTTCTTAGTTCGTCTGGTATTACTAGACCTATTGTCGGAACGCAAGGCTTGGGTTTTCCGACTACTAATTTGCCCACGAGCATCATTCTGCCTTCCACGAGCAGGATGCAGAAGGGTGTGATGAAGATGGTCACATTTGCGGCACGTGGCTAAGGACGAACATGATCTTAAATTATGGCTTCTGGCCAAGCAGTTGCCACAGTAGTTGTAGCGACGAACCATACGGATCCTCTCTTGGATGGTCATGTTTAGAAAACGGCGACAGAATCTTAGTGCATGATATCGTTTGCAAACCAGGCATAGATGTACCGCGGGGTCCCTTTGGCGTTGATTTTGTCTCCTAGATAAGTGAAAGGAAAAGGAAAAAACCAAAAAAGAGAAGAGTAAAAAATTTATTAGAAGGGTTAAGTAAATGTGAGTATGAGCTAATGGTTGGATGAGAAATTAGATTAGTGTGTTAGTTTATTGAGTATCATTTTCATTGAGTAATGGTAAGTAGCAAAGTTTGACTATCGGTCGTGTTATGACACCGGTAGCAATTCGTACTTCAGCCACTCTCACATTGTTATCAGAACCTGTATGTGTGTTTACTATTCGACCTAGCCGCCAATCCGAGGGGGGCAATAAATCATCAATAACTACCACAAGATCACCCGTCTTGAGATTTGAGGCTGAATTTCTCCACTTGTATCTTTTGTGTAGAGCTTTTAAATAGTCCTCTTTCCATCGTATAGAAAATTGATGGTGTAGAGCCTTTAGCTTTTCCCATCTGTTGATAATAGATATTTTCTCGAATACTGGTTCTGGAAACGCCATTATTGGTTTTCCAGTTAAAAAATGTCCTGGTGTCAGAGCTGTTAAATCAGGTGGATCTTCAGATATTGCAGAGATGGGGGGAGAGTTCAATATGCCTTCTATGTATGCAAGAATAGTGGAGAATTCCTCGAAATTGAACTTATGTGCTCCAGCAATGCACTTTAAATGAAATGAAATGCAGCCTCCCATAGGCCGCCCATGTGTGGAGCATGTGGAGAAATGAAAATCCATTCAAAACCCTGAGTACTATATTTTTGGGAAATATCTTCTGAAGCAGATTTTATAAAGGATGCGAATTCTCTGTTTAATTCTCTACTTGCACCGAGAAAGTTTCGACCATTGTCCGAGTGTATCCTGTGAGGGAGCCCCCGCCTCCCAATAAAGCGAGAGAATGCCCTACGGAATGCTGCTGTAGATAAATCGGTACAAGCTTCTAAATGAATTGCTTTGGTACTAAAGCAAACGAAAACAGAAACATATCCTTTAATAGATGGCGAATTTCGTATCGTGGAAGTTTTGAGATCAAACGGGCCGGCGAAATCAATACCGGTAGTTTGGAATGGCCCTGAGAGGTTACACCTATCTGGTGGTAATGGAGCCATTATTTGAGCACAACTTCTTTGTTTATATATAAGGCACGTCTTACAATGACGAATAACTTTTTTAACTCTTGATTTTAAACGAGTAATGTAAAATTCAGTTTGAGTTATTCTACACATTTGGTTGCATTCTGCATGAGCCAGGGTTATGTGTAAATAAGTTAAATATAAATGGCAGAACCGTGAGTTGCCAGGTAAGATTATTGGGTAACGTTCGTTATAGGGAAGTGATGATTCTGATAATCTGCCATTAACTCTCATGATTTTATTGGAATCTAGAAAGGGATTTAGTGTTTTCAGAGGACTTTTATTTGGAATTTGTTGGGAATTTAACAAACATAAATAATCTGATTCATGAAAAGATTTTTGAGCGAGAATAATGAGCTTAATTTTTATAGAATTTACTTCGGTTTGGGTCAGATTAACAGTAGAATAACTTGTATTAGATATGCGTTTCCTAAAACGAAAAACGTAACATAAAACTCGCAACGCTCGATGGTATGAGGAAAAGTTTTCTAAGATATCATTGTTACGAATAGGATTAGTGAATGTTGCCAACGAGTGCTGTAAAGGTTGTATATCTACTTTAGCTAGCCACGTTGAAGGGGGATTAGTAAGCCGTGCCACCATAAGGAGTTGTTTACTAAACCCTGAGGTCTACAGCCTCGTGTACCCATATCGGCTGGATTATCATGAGTAGGAACATGTCGCCATGTTGCTTTTGGTGTTAATCTATGAATCTGAGATATGCGGTTTGCTACGTATGTTTCCCAAGTCACTGGAGGTTTAGACAACCAATTTATAACAATTGTCGAATCTGTCCATAATATGATTTCAGATTGGTTGAGATTGAGAAAATTAAGTATATGATTAACCAGGTTTGCCAATAAAACAGCACCGTTAAGCTCGAGACGAGGTAAACAAACGGTCTGTAGTGGCGCTACTTTGCTTTTTGCAACCAACAGATTTGAGTAAGAGATATTTTTTTGAGTTTGGCATCTTATGTATACTGTGGCGCAATATGCATGCTTAGAAGCATCAGAAAAACCATGAACTTGTATGATGTCAGATGGTGTATATTGGATCCATCTTGGGATTTCAATATTTTCTATGTGAGGAAGATCGCATATGAGATTGTTCCAGGTTTAAAGGGATTCAGGTCCGACATTTTGATCCCAATCTAGACCTTCTAGCCAGAGCTGCTGCATAAGCATTTTTGCTCTGATAACTATAGGATTTATCCAACCTGCAGGATCAAATAATTTGGCAACTGCAGATAGTATAAATCGTTTTGTGATATTGGAGGATTGAGGAATCGGATTGAATGAGTAGGAAAAAGTGTCGCTAAGAGCATTCCACTTTATTCCTAATGTTTTGGCAGTGCTTGCTTCGTGAAAGCGAAGAAAATCTGAATCATACAAATCCTCGGGAGGGATATTAGAGAGTATTTGAGAATCGTTTGCCGTGATTTTCTTTAACGGAAGTAAGTTTCATTGCGTAAAATAAGGGCTGCTTTAGGAAATTGTTTTTCAGAGTCTTCGGCTAGCTGAAGGAGTGTGCGTATTGCCAAAAATGGAGCGCAATTCAACCCGAATGTTACTGTTTTAAGTTGATAATCGATAAAAGGGGCATTGTGTTCTTTTTGAAACAAAATACGTTGAAAAGGTCTGTCCTCAAGGTGTACTAAAATCTGACGATACATTTTCTGTATATCGCCACTGAAAACATAACGATATTTTCGCCAGTTGAGAATCACATTCATGAGGTCTTGTTGCAAAGTTGGACCAGTGTATAACACGTCATTTAAAGAATATCCTGATTTTGTTTTTCTGGACGCATTGAAAACTACCCTAACTTTGGTGGTTTTGTGTTCAGGGCGAACGACCGCATGATGTGGTAAATAGAATGAGAAATATTAATTATCAGAGGAGATTTCACGGAACGAACTTTTTTCCATATGTTGAAGTGATAAATATTCTTCTAAAACAGCATTATATTGAGCTTGGAGGTTAGGACTTTTGGCTAGAGATTGTTTCATGCGCGAATATTGGCCAAGAGCCAATATTCTGGATGCACCAAGAAATATAAAATTAGGGAATTCTTTTTTAAAGGGTAATCGCACCACATATTTTCCATCAGCTTGGCGGATTGTGGTTTCTTTATAGAATTGTTCGCAATACTGATCTTCTTTAGACAAGTGTTTAGGAGATGGCAACTCTTCCTGTTCCCAGAATTTTCGCAGATGATCGTTTAGAATGGAAGTTTCAGAAGGAATTATGGTGGTTGTAAACGAGTGTATAGGGTTGCCAATAATGGGACCACTAAGGACCCAACCAAATATTGTATTGTATGCAAATGCAAGGCCACAAACATTCTTCTTTATGCCATCGATGTTTATATATCGTTCTGAATCGTTACCAAGGATAAGGTCAATTTGAGAGCATTGGTTGAATGTGGGCTCCATTTTTGGCAATATGCACACTCCTTCAGCTAGCCGAAGACTCTGAAAAACAATTTCCTAAAGCAGCCCTTATTTTACGCAATGAAACTTACGTTGACGATATATTATCTGGTGGTTATTCAATATAAGATGTTTTAAAAGCTCAATCATCCATATCACTGGTTCATATCCGGTTCGAAGGACCATGTAGAATCCTGGGTAGACTTGGCTTAATTAGGGGTTAGAGTTCCAGTTTAGGTAAGGTTTAGAGTGGACTGTAGGTAAGAGCAGATTAAGTTAGATTAAGCCAGCTTCCCTGTTTTCCGCAAGCTCTATAATTTCTGATCTTCGGCAGAACTTATAGAGGAGTTAGATTTGAGGTTAGATATAAAAGAAGTGAAACAAAGATTTGGGTTAATTCAGTTCAAGATTATACAGAGTTTATTAATGCTCACCGTTGGGCGTTTTCCTGACGAGTGGCTTTTCTTATTCTTGTACAATATTGAGGAAAACTAAGTTCAATTTTTTTTTTCATTCGAAATTGGAAAATGGATTTTAACAATTCACAATAGTTTTAATCGTTACTTTAACATTTCAATGTAAATTTATGTAAAGCAAATACAAATTTAAAAAATGACGTTAACTTTAATTTAAATCAGAAAATACATTTTGGTTTAAAATACAATTTTAAACAATTAGTAATATACTTTTGCGACTGCCCGTTTATAAGGCATTCTGCATTCATTTGTTAAAAAGATATTTATAAACTCAAAAATTTAAATATGACTGAAAAATTACTTAAAATAATATCAATCACTGGTTTTTAAGTATTTTTTTAAATTTTCATTGATGGATGTTATCCCGTAAAATAAAATACAAGAGTTCATGTATTTTTTATATGGCATCGAAAATGTACAAACGCAAATTTTGCGAGTTCATGTTGAACTTTTGAAAAAATGTGTATGGGGTATGCGAAAAGGTGAAAAAATTGTTATCCCAATAGATTATAACTACCTTATTAATAACAATTTATCAAAGGTTTATTGAACAAATTTTGTATGAAAAATTGCCTTATAAACCTGTGATAAATGAATAAGGTATTCTACGTTTTTGAGTCCATTAAAAAGTCTCACTTTTTAAATATATGTACTTACAATTAACGGTTAACTTTAAAAGGCGTGGAGTCCTTATTTTTAATATTTAAAAAAGTTTTTGTTATTATTAAACATAATAAAGTCTTAAAAAAAGACAAAAAGAGGAATTATAAAATCTTCAAAAACAAAAAATTATAATAGTTCAAAATTAGGGACATTCAGCAGGTAAAAATGGATTTTAGTTTTCTGTAACACAACTTTCGGAGTACCCTTATTCTGTTTTGGATCACATTTCTTCACTTTTAAATACATTTTTTTACTATTTTGCCAATTGTCTCTCATATTGAATTCAAACTAAGCAAAAAATCAAAAACTTTTGAGTTTAGTCCTCCTAAATTGGCAAAACCACACACTGTCAAATATGGTCTGATTTTAAAAAACTTTACAGAATTATTTATAGATGCGTAGAACATACTCCCGATTAATTTTATAACGATTGCTGCATAATCGAGGCACTTAGGAGTATTTAAGCGGAGCTATGTGACTAAAAGCAACCAATCTCCATCTTTCTTGGTACATATATGCCAAATTTATCAAAAATATCTTTAAACTTGTGATCTGCAATTTAACATTAATAAACTCGGGAAGTGGTTTTAAGTATATTAGAGTCTTTTAAGCTCAGTTTTACTAACTCAGGTTCAGAATCATTTTCTGAGTCGATTAAGCCATGTCCGACCTATCTGTCTGTCCATGTAAACATTGTAATCAAACTACAGGTCGCAATTTTAAATATAATTGGATAAAATTTGGTATACGTATTACTTTTGACCCAAGGACGAGCCCTGTTGATTTTGGTTAATATCATTAACCATTATTTAACTTAGCCTCCATATAACCGGACCCCATATATTGGGATTTGGAGCTCATAATTATGGCAAATATACTAATATCCTTACAACTAATTTTTATACAAGCATAAATGATACCGTAAAACATCGTAGTGAGCGGCTCTTATTTAACCCTAGCCCTCTTGTCAAATCCCCCTTATAAAGACGTGTATTTCAATGAAATTCGACATAATTAACTTTAATGTCAACAAAAATCCCTCCATCTAAATTTGTTAGGATCTGTTCATATTTGATCCTAGCCCTTATACATAGCTTCTATCAGAAAATAAATTGTTCATCAAAAATATATCGAAATAAAGGCAGAATTCAACATAAATGCTTTATTATTAAAAATAATAATGCACATTTTAGATATACATATGTACATACTCATAATTGGTGTAGGACAGGGGTCGGCAAATTACGGCTCGCGAACCAAATGCGGCTCTTTAGATGTGGAGCTGCTCTTTAGTTCCACACACACATTTTATTTATTTTGTTAAAAAATATTTATATATTTGAAAAATTTTTTTGAATCTATTAAAGAACAGAATTTTAAAACTAACAAAACAATTCGCAAACGTTTCTACAATATACATAACTTTTCAACTTTGTTTAATCGTTCTGTACATGAGCAAAACGAAAACAAATTCTTTTTGAGTGAGAAAGAACGAAAACAACACCATTAGCTTTCGCTCATCTCATTGCTTTTTTTGCCATACATTTGAGAAAAAATTCTCATTGAGCCATTTGGAATCGGTACCGGATCTAGAAATGCAGTTGATCATTTTAAAAAGTAAAGCTTTGTGTAGTGGAAAATTGTGGAAATTTAAAAGCAAGTGGGAAGAGTTAGGTAAGAAGCCAACTAACAAATAAAAATTTATATTCGTTTTTGAAACTTTAAACAACAGGTTGTGATCCAAACTTTCTAAAGCTATACAAACCTATAATTCTTTAAATTTTTAATTGAAAAGTACCCCATATGGGGTATCATATGAGCGCTCCTTCGAAGTAAACCATGGAATTGAAAATATAGTAATTAATTAATTAATAATATGGAAAGTTTGGATACAGTAAAATACTAAAAACTTGGTGTCAAAAAATTTTGCACGTTTTAGAAATGTTAATGACAGATGTTTATTTTTTTTTTATTTATTTATTTAAGTCTATGGAAATACTCCTTACAGACTTTCTAAAAATTTGTACAACTTTATAATATAAAATGTATTTTAATTATTTAAAATATATAAAATGTTTCGTTTTATAATATCAACATTTAAATTAAAATCTATAATATCGAACATGTCGTTAAAACAGCAACACAGCTTTCTAAACGGATCTGCCATTGCAAAGTAGTAGTCGTTGAGGTACATTTAATGAAATCTTACTTATAAGAAATTCAGAGCAAACGTTTCCATTTAAGAGATTTAAAATAAATGAGACATTAAGCATTGTTCTGCGACTTTTCAACGTTGGGAAATTTAATAATGCAAGTCTTGTTGAGTACGATGGAAGTTCACTATAGTTCCGATATATGTTTTTAGGCAAAATATTATTAACTGTTTTTGAACTGATTCGATGTGGTAAATATGAACGTTATAGTACGGGTCCCATTCAAGTGACCCATATTCCAATATCGGTCTTACAAGTAAAGTAAATAATCGCTTAGTTATGAGCGGATCATTGAATTCTTTTGACCAACGTTTAATAAAAGCCAATATTGTACGAATCTGCCGTATCAAATCTCCTAGAAAAATGTATATGTTTACATTTTGCCAAGTTCAGTTCCATTAGATTTAGTTTACACCAGCCGTAAAAGTTGTTCAAGTCGTTCTGAAGATAAATATGATCAGACGAATGTTTGAAACTTAAAACAAGTAAGAAAGTATAGTCGGGCGTGGCCGACCATATGATACCCTACACCAGTTATGAATATTAAATGTGATTTATTTTTCATAATAAAGCATTTATCTTCAATATTCCCTTGTTCCGATACATTTAAGCAATTTATGGATGAAAAACTAATTTTCTGGGGGCTAGGGGCAAATATGGACCAAGCCCGATAAAATTTTGCGAATATATTTATATTTACATAACATTTTATTGTACTGAATTTCATCGCGATATTTGTGTTTATAAGTTAATTTGGGACATTCAAGTAATTTTCTGAAGGGGACTTTGTATGGGAGCTAGGGTCAGATGGGGCCCGATATTTATGAAATTTGGCAGGGTCATCAAGACTTCTATAAAACTTAGTTGTGCCATATTTTATCGATATATCTGTATATTTAACATAATTATGAGCTCAGAAGCCCTTTTCGGGGGGACCTGTTCTATGGGGGCTAGGAGAAATAATGGACCGATTTTTTTCAATAGGCTTCGTCCTTGGGTCAAATAAAACTTGCGTGCCAAATTTCATCCAATTATCTTGAAAATTGCGACCTGTACCTTGCGCACAAGGTTTACATGGACAGCCAGACGGACATAGCTTAATCGACTCAGAAAACGATTCTAGGCCGATTGGTATACTTTAAGGTGGGTCTAGGACGAATATTTTTGTATGTTACAAACATCAGTACAAATCCAATATACCCTCCCCACTAAAGTGGTGTAGGGTATAAATATTTTTACATCATCGGCAAACATCAATATTTTAGAATATTTTATAGCATCGGGCAAATCGTTTATAAAAAGTGAGAACAAAATTGGACCAAGATGGCTTCCTTGTGGAACACCTGATTTGACCAATATTGTTTTGGAAATGGTAGTATTAAATTTTATTGACTGCTTTCTATTTATCAAATATGATCTGAACCAGCTTAAATATGTCGTATCAAAACCCAGCATATCCATTTTCTTTACCAAGGGTTGATGGTTGACTTTGTCGAAAGCCTTGCTGAAATCGGTGTAAATGACATCGGTGTGTTGACTATTTACGAAACCTTCATTTACTTAAGTTGTTAGTTGAAGAATATTTGTCATAGCAGAAAATCCTTTGCGAAAACCATGTTGGAGGGGTGTGAGTAAGGGAGATACTTTGTGA